TTCACAGTTACCGATACCTGAGTTCGCTTACAACAACGCGTCACATGCGGCCACAGGGAAATCTCCTTTCTTCCTGTGCTATGGACGGGAACCACTTACACCAGAACAGCCAACCACACCGGCACACGTCCAAGCCACACATGACTTCGTCACCACCATGCAGCAGCTATGGGAGAAGACTCAGCGACGTCTTTCCACGATGCAACTTGAACCTGTCTGACCTACCATCCAAGCTCCGGCCTCGCTTCTGTGGTCCTTTTCGCGTTGAGGCACAGGTGACACCAGTAACATTCCGCTTGCGCTTACCTATTACTTGGATGCTTCATAACGCTTTCCAAGTTTAGCTGCTGAAGCCCTACAAGGACCCCAACTTACAGTTCATGGGACGACAGCTACCGCCACCACCACCTGTTCTCGTACAGGATGAACCAGAGTACGAGGTGGAACGAGTGCTCGCTCATCGACGCAGACGTGGCAACACGCTCGAGTTCCTGATACGCTGGAAGGGATATGACCCATCGGAGGACAGTTGGGTTGCAGAAGCTGATATGGGCAACGCACGCCGTGCTCTCAAGGACTATCTAGTCAAGCAGGGTGTTTCTCACGCCACCCAGCTTTGAGGGGGGGACGTGTGAGAGTACGACGGCTTATACTGGCTTTGCTAGCTTGCCTGGACTTTATTACGCATTATCTAGCTTAGCTTTTTTTTGCTTTGCTTTCTTTTGCTTGATTTCCTAGGTTCGTTGCTTTTACTATAGTTATTATAGCTATAGCACCGAACTAGGTTGAGTGCACCGAATTCTAGGCTTTTCGGTTGCCACCGAATTGTCTTCTACCGAATTCGGGAAGGACCCGTTCGGGATGCTTCGCGACCCGCGGAACCTTCTAGTAACACCCGGGTTACTGCCTTTGTGTCGAGCCTATATATAGCCTCGTCTTGTACCCAGGTGAATCATTCAATAGAATCATCTTTCCTGAACCAGATCCTCACAGGGGTTAGGTCTGAAGGTGGCGCCTTGGCGCTGCTCCAGGTGGTGTTCGCGATGCTGGAGGTGGGGACCGTGGTTTTGGCTGGTGGTGTTCGCACTACTGCAAGGCCGCTATCGCGCTATTGCGGGGATGCGATCCCGCCAATGCGGTGCCGCGATCGCGCATATGCGGGGCCGCGATCGCGCTGCGCAAATGCGGGGCCGAGATCGCGCTATTGCGGGGACACGATCCCGCCAATGCGTGGCCGCGAGCGCGCTGCTGCGCCCCTGGTCGTGCGACGATGCGTAATGGCGGGAGCGCCTATGCCTATAATGAATATAAATATTAAAATAGGACTGTAAGAGTCTTGGTAGGTGCAGTAGAGATTTACTAGCTTGATCTAGACTAGGGACTGGATCTGAATGTCGAGGGAAACAAAACATCAAAACCAACTGATGTTCTCCCCCTCTCCAAAGTGTACCCTAATCTGAGAACGGGTCGGGTAACCCTGTCATTTGACTGGGTATGCGATCCGGACGGGACGGGTCAACCCGACCCGGCGGGTCTCTGATACCCGTCTATAAATCACATTGACGGGTCACGGGTCGACCCGACCCGTCCGGGTAAACCCGACCCGACCCGACCCGGACGGGACGACATTCTCAGCATTCCTGTCCGGACCCGCCCAAAAGGGCGGCACTGCTCCCATGATGCAGTCGAAGATAAAACAGATTGTTGCGAGTAAAGCCCTCGCCAATATGAGCCTCATAAGTTTTGAGCTCAACCCGCCCTGCAGTGGGGAAGGAAACGGCATGCCGGCAGCTCCAAGTGCACGAACTGAGAGCAGGTTGTGAACCGATGAAGGGAGAAACAGAACGTTGTCTAGCTGGATGGTGGTTTCCGAGGTTTGTGACCGAAGAGTAGCCACCACCGTGCCGACTCCCAAGACCTTGTAAGTTTCTCCACCACCAAAACGAACGATAATATCATCAGTTGGCTGCTGGAGAGATGAAAACAGCGAGCGATCGGATCATATATGGGAAGATGCGCCGCTATCCACCAGCCAGGAAGAAGTCCGGACCATGTTTGATGAGGAGGCCGTGAATGCCGATGCGTAGGGAGCACCATAAGGGAAGAGGAGGAGGAGGAGGATGGTGAAGATGAAGACAGCAGCGACAAGAGGAGTCCAGGTGGGGAGGATGGGGCGGTGGCTGGTGCTGAAAGCAATGTCAACGTACCGGGAATCAGGTACGGACTGAGGGGCTGATGGGGAAGTAGGTGTTGTGGAGGTCGAAGGGATGTCGGCGGAGGAGCTTGTTGACACATGCACCGAAGGCTGGATGACAGATTTCTCCCGTCGAGAGCTTTCTTCGAGCTCTTTCTTCTTCTTCAACTTGAAGCATTCGTCAATGGTGTGGCCGGTTTTCTTGCAGTAGCGGCAAGTAGGGCACTGGCAGGAACCGGAGCGAATAGGGTGGGAGGGCTGGGAATGGAGGTTGTATGCACCTTCCATGTTGCGGCTTGTACCAGATTGTGACCGCTCCCAATCGGCATCGAGTAGACGTGACTGCAGGTATTCAACCGTCATAGACTTGATGTCTTTCACGGTGCAAATAGTTTATGTGAGAGTCTTGAAGGAGTCCGGCAGATTGAGAATGATGGAGATTACCACCACCCAAGATGGTAGTTCGAAGCCGGCCGGCAGATTTGAGTTGTGCGTGAGATTTCCAACTCGATCGAAGTAGGAGCGAAGACTCATTGTTGGGTCAATCCGTGTAGTGGTGAGATCTCGGAGGAGAGCCACTTGTGCATGGTTACCCATGCAGTCAAACCGCGCCATGATGCATCCCCACATATCCTTTGTCGTGTTGGCTTGAGCAAGTGTGAGCGAGAGCTGAGGATGGACGGCTGACATGAGAAGATAGTACGCATGCTCCTCTTTTTCGTCATCCGGCAGCGACGCAAACGAATGGGCTGTTTTAGGGGCTGCACCATTGTTGCCTTCAGTAGCATCTCCACTGCTGGTTGTGGAAGAGGAAATAGAAGGGCGGGCAGCAACCTTGGGATCTCCAAGAAAGGAGATCAGCCCAAGAACATTGAAGATGCAGTAGATCTTTTTCTTCCATGGAATGAAGTTGGAACCATCCGGTTCCAAGATTGGAAGGGTGTGCCGTCCGAGAGGCGTCTCAACTTGAGCCATCAAGTGTGCGACGTTCACAAAGCTAGAAGCCTAGCTCTGATACCATGAAGAAAATGGATCGGTGAACTTAGGGCACGATAGGAAGAAGAAATATCCTTAGCAAGAAAATGGTACAAGTCTTAAAGACTAGAGCAAGGTCCTTGTCCAAGGATGATTCCTAGTGAAGTGGGAAGCCACATATATGCGGCTGAACTCTTGAGGCTAGCTGCAGCACCTCAATGCTGAGGGCAAGGCTAGCCAACCTTGCCAAGTTAGCAAGTGAGGCCTCATGTTGCACATGTGGGCCAGGCTGGAACAACAGCTCACATAACAGCATATGGCACACCATAGAGGCCAGCAAGGTGAGTGTGGGATGAGTGGACAGGTGGCAATGCCAACTGTGACCACACTTCACTGTGGTGGAGTGTGGACATGTAATGTGGAGCAGAAGGAGAAGGGAAGGTGCAGCTGCTGAGAATTGAACCCACGACTTCTAAGACCAAAGGTGAGAATCTACCCTCTGGAACATACTTGCTGCACAACAGATGGTATGGATGGTATTGATGGGTACGGATGGCATGGATGGTATGGATGGTATTGATGGGTACGGATGGCATGGATGGAATGGATGGGTACGGATGGGTGTGGATGAGTGCCTTCTGGGGCTTACAAGCAGTCGAATCAGATCGGCGAGATGGTGGTGCGCCACCTGAAGGTGCTGCAGCTCACCGTGCAGGCGGACGTCTCTCCCAAGGTACGGATGGGTACGGAAGGGTACGGATGGGTATGGATAGGTGTGGATGAGTGCATGCTGTTCAAACCTAATCGGCGATATGGTGGTGCGCCATCCGAAATTACTGCAGCTTACATTCCAGGCGGACGTGTCTCCCAAGGTATGGATGAGGTATGCATGCGCTTTGAGACGGCCCAAAACTCGGTAACTGCTGGTCTGATCATTGGGGTCATTGCCAGCACCTGCTGGGGCTGACTTACATACATTCAAATCTGATCGGGGAGATGGTGGTACGCCACTCGAAAGTGCTGCAGCTAACAGTGCAAGCAGACGTCTCGCCCAAGGTATTGATGGGTACGGATGGCATGGATGGTATGGATGGTATGGATGGTATGGATGGTATGGATGGTATGGATGAGTGCCTTCTGGGGCTTACAAGCAGAGCAGTTGAATCAGATCTGCTCATTATCCGCCCCGGTTGCGAGGGAGCGAATCCATCCGTGATGTGTTCTCCCTCAGGTTTCTGTCTGGTTGCACACCGCGCCCTTGTGCCGTTATTTCTCATTCCTCTCAGGTCCGTTTCCTCTGGTTGATTGGACTTCTCTCCCTCCCTTTCCTTCATTGTACCCTCTCACCTCCCCCTCGCACTTGTGCTGCACTTGTGCTGCCCTTGTGCTGCCCTTGTGCTGGCCTTTTGCTGGCCTTGTGCCGCCCTTGAGCTGCCCTTGAGCTGCCCTTGAGCTGCCCTTGAGCTGCCCTTGAGCTGCCCGTGTGCTTCCCTTCTGCTGCCCTTGTGCTGTGCATTTCTCGTTCCCCTCAGGTCCGTTTCCTCCGACTGATAGCTATTCTCGCCCCCCCCCCCCCCCCCCTTCCCCACCCCGTCGCCTTTCTCTTTCGTACCCTCTCACCTGCCCCCATCCCCCTCGCCCTTGTTCCTCTCATTTCTTGTTCCGCTCAAGTCCGCTTCCTCCGGCTGATTGGACTTCTCTTTCCCTCGCCCTTCTCTTTCCCTCGCCCTTCTCTTTCCCTCGCCCTTCTCTTTCTTAACCCGTCACCTGCCATCCCTGCCCTCCCCCTCGCCCTTCCCCTCGCCCTCCCCCTCGCCCTCGTTGCCTTCAGGTTCGTTTCCTCCGGCTGATTGGAATCCCTGAGGCAGACGTAGCTGGAGTGCTGCACCGCTTTCCACCCATTCTCACCTACAGCCTCGACAAGAAGATAAGACCACTGGTGAGCTGATAGGGACAAGCTGAATCGACAGCCCTCTACAGGCCATAAATGAGGTTCACTGATGGACAGGTAGCTCTTTGCACCACTTTTCACCCATTCCCACCTACAGCCTCAACAGAAAGAAAAGGCCGCGCTGGTGAGCTGACTGGTAGTAGCTTTTGAGGTAGCTCGTCTCGTCTTGCGCTTGCCATCAACCATGCAATGAAGACGTGTCTGCCACTCCTCTTGGCTTAGCTGGGCCCATATTCCCAACCATCTACTGGTTCCATTAGCTGTGCATCTGCAAATACTGACTAGCCACCACAGCTCATGCCAGCTTAGCTGTTGCAGGTGGTTTTTGAGAATTCTCAAAAACCTGCTGCATCTGAGCCGTGTTTTGAGTCGACTATAACCCGCTGCACCTGCAGATATCTACTAGCCAAGCCACAGTTCACGCAAGCTCGATCGATATTCTCCCTACCTGCTTCACACCAACCCCCGTTCCTCAGGTTCGGTTCCTCGTCACCGAAGCAGGAGTCCCGGACCACGAGGTTTGGAAAGTTGTGGTGGCTCGGCCGGACCTGGTGGCGTGCCATCTGGACGACAGGCTTCGTCCGCTAGTGCGCTTTCTGCTATCAATGGGGGTAGTGAGGGAGGATGTGGGGAGCATGGTGGTGCAATTCCCGCCCCTGCTCAAATACAATCCGGCTATTCTGAAACCCAAGTGGCGGTATTTCCAACGGTCCATGCGCCTCACTGTCGACCATTTGGTGGCCTTCCCACGGTGAGTGTGGATGCAGGGTGTAGTATGGTTCAGTGCGGTGAACAGTAGGGATAGGAGGTGTAGGCCATGGGGAGCATGGTGGTGCAGTTCCCCCCTCTGCTCAAGTACAATCCGGCTATTCTGAAACCCAAGTGGCAGTATTTCCAGAGGACCATGCCAACCATCTCGTTGCCTTTCCACGGTGAGTGTGGGGTAAAAGGTATCCCTCCTATGTTGCAGTACGGTTCAGTGCGGTTCAGTAGGGTATCCCTCCTATGTGGCTTCGTCCGCTAGTGCGCTTTCTGCTGTCCATGGGGGTAATGAGGGAGGATGTAGGGAGCATGGTGGTGCAGTTCCCTCCTCTCCTCTGCTCAAGTATAACCCTTCTATTCTGAAACCCAAGTGGCGGTACTTCCAGAGGACCATGCGGCTGACTGTTGACCAACTGGTTGCCTTCCCACGGTGAGTGTGGGGCGAATGGAATGGAATGCAGTACGATGCGATTTCTACGGCGCTTTATACTCTCTTCCCTCAACCCCCCCAACCGCTGTTTCCTCCTTCCAAGCAGCTTCTTCAGCTATGCCTTAGACACACGCAATTCCGCTCGCCACCGCCTGCTGCAACACCACGGGCTGTCGTTCAGCCTCAGGCACATGCTCTGCTACTCATATGCCCACTTCCCATGCCCTCCTCACGTGCCCCTGACTTTCTTCCTACCCACCGTGTCTCTTCCCTCCTTCCAAGCAGCTACTTCAGCTGTGCCCTGGACACGCGCAGCGCTCTGAGGCACGTCTGCTGTCATTGAGCTTTTGCTCTTTTGCACCTTCCCCCTATATTGAAATCACTTTTGAGAATTCTCAAGAGCTTCTGCTCTTTTGCACCTTCCCCCTCCCTCCCCACCTTTTCCCACCTGCACAGCTTCTTCAGCTGTGCCCTGAACACACGCAGTGCTCTGAGGCACCGTCTGCTGTCACTGAGCTTCTGCTCTTTTGCACCTTCCCCTCCCACCCATGACCCTCTCTTTCCAAGCAGCTACTTCAGCTATGCCCTGGACACGCGCATTGCCCCGAGGCACCGCCTGTTGCAGCAGCAAGGGCTATCGTTCAGCCTTAGACACATGCTCTGCTGCTCTGATTTTGATACCCTCTTCCCATGCCCTCCTCCTGTGTTCGTCTCATGCCCACCAAGCAGCTTCTTCAGCTATGTACTGGACACGCGCATTGCTCCCCGGCACTGGTTGTTGCAGCAGCAAGGGCTGTCGTTCAGCCTTAGACACATGCTCTGCTGCTCTGATCTGATGCCCTCTTCCCATGCCCTCTTCTTATGTTCGTCTCATGCCCACTTTTCACAGATTCTTCAGCTATGCCCTGGACACGCGCATTGCCCCCCGTCACCGCCTGCTGCAGCAGCAAGGGCTGTCGTTCAGCCTTAGACACATGCTCTGCTGCTCTGATGAGCTATTCTTAGAGCGGGTTAAGTGGGCACTGGAGGGGAGAGGAGAGGGAGGTGGAGAGGGAAATGAGGTGGAAGAGGGAGGGGAAGAGGAAGAAGGGGAGGAAGCAGAGGAGCGGGTGGAGGAAGAGGAGGAGGATGGGGAAAGAATGGTGGAGGGGAAGGGAGCAGGCTTAGGGTAGTGTAATGCAGATTTCGGCAGGAGAGACAGGCTATGCTGCACCGATTAACTGCTTCTGTTTTGAGACGCCTCAAAAGTGTTTCGAGATTTGAGATGTTTCAAATCTCAGACTAGTGTCATGCAGATTTCAGCGAGGACTCGGGGTGTGCTACGCTGATGAGGTGACTTTTGAGTCGACTCAAAAGTCACCAGATTTCAGCGAGGACTGGGGGTGTGCTATGCTGATGAGGTGACTTTTGAGTCGACTCAAAAGTCACCAGATTTCAGCGAGGACTCGGGGTGTGCTACGCTGATGCGCTGCTTCGAGTTACGGAAAGTGGGCACTGATTCGATAAGGAATTTTGATTCGAGTTACTAAGGTCGTGCTCTGCTCTGTATGTAACCTCACAACGATAGATTGCTACCATATTCGATATAAAACATCTCGTTTTATCCCCTGCATTCTGTTAAATGGTGACTCGGACAGCATGTGTATTCCACCTTAGTAACTCTACTTGGAATTTCCACTAGTAGTACCGTATCATATCAATATTTTGTTTTAGGCAACTCCATCGTTCATGGTGAAAGAGTCATAGAGATTGCGATCAATTCAGAAACTGACCTACAAACGCTCTATACCTCCATTCTAAAAAGACGTTAAAGCACCACGAATCTGCATCAATCCAGCGACCGGCCAGCCCACTCGCGGTTGCGCTTCTTCATCTTGGCCTGCATCTTGTTGAACTTCTCCTTGTTTTGAGTCGACTCAAAGCATCTTGTTAAACTTCTTGTTTTGAGTTGACTCAAAACATCTTGTCGAACTTCTCGCTGCCCTTCTCCAACAGAGGATCGTGCACCGCGTAGCGTACTGATCGTCAACACGCAGTGGAACTCCTTCAAACATCATCCGTACCGTTCTTAATCAGTCCAACAACCGGCCGGCCCACTCTCGGTTGCGCTTCTTCATCTTGGCCTGCATCCTGTTGAACTTCTCCTTGCCCTTCTCCAGCAGAGGGTCGTGCACTGCGGCGTATTACCCACAACACCCAGCGGAACTCCTTTAAACATCCTCCGTACCTATCACAATCAGTCCAGGGACCGACCAGCCCACTCCCTGTTCCTTTTCTTCATCTTGGCTTGCATCTTGTTGAACTTCTCCTTGCCCTTCTCCAGCAGCGGATCGTGCACCGCGTAGCATAGTCATCACCAACACCCAGTGGAACTCCTTCAAACATCCTCCGTACCGAACTAAGATCAGTCCAGCGACCGGCCAGCCCACTCTCCGTTTCTCTTCTTCATCCTGGCCTGCATCTTGTTGAACTTCTCCTTTACGACGATTGGTACACATCCCCACTAGTCCAACGACCGGCCAGCCCACTCCCTGTTTCGCTTCTTCATCTTGGCCTGCATCTTGTTGAACTTCTCCTTGCCCTTCTCCAGCAGTGGATCGTGCACCGCGTACTGGTCCGGGTCGTCGTTACGAAGCATCTCGTCCTGAAGCGGATGGGGAAGAGGGAATACACAACAAGCAGAGATGGGATGAGCAGAGAAGAACAACAGGGTGTGAAGGTGTGGGTTGATTTGATCCGGCAGAGCGTCCTGGATCATCGTTATCAAGCATCTCGCCCTGATGGGGCGAGCAGGGGGCGTGCACAGCCGGCAAAGAGAGAGACTGGAGAGAAGCGGAGAAGAAGGAAGAGAGTAAGGTGCAATGTGATCCAGCAGCGGGTCGTGCACCGCGTACTGACGGGGACAAGCATAGGAGGAGAGCAAGAGCGGGAGCAAGAGTGAAAGCAAATGCGTTGTTACGCCCCTCTTGGTGTCTTGCTCCTCTACCAAATTTGTTGATTATTCCCACCAACACCTTCTGGAACTCACCCGCTTGTTCCTCTTCATTTCAAACGTTAGGGGAAGAAGGGCTGCTGTGCATTCCCCTTGCTCGCCCCATACCTTCTTTGCAGCATGCTGAATGCCCTTTATGCTAATCTGGCATCACAACACCCACTCTCCATCATCCCCCATTCCCTCAAACTCACCCACACCCCACAACTCACCCGCTTGTTCCTCTTCACTTCAAACTTCAGCCTGTGAGCCATCCAATCCACTCCCCCACCCTCCTCTTCGTGATTTGAGACGCCCCCTCAACCCCCAACCCCACAATCCCATCTCAAAACACCATCTGCAACTCACCCGCTTGTACCTCTTCACTTCAAACTTCAGCCTGTGTGCCATGCCATCCAGTCCACAAAACCCTGCACAGCAACCTACATGCCTGCTCTTGATCCTGCATCGCAACACTCCCCACGACTCACCCGCTTGTTTCTTTTAACTTCAAACTTCAACCTGTGAGCCATCCAATCCACGCCCCCACCCTCCTCATCCTCCTCCTCCTCACCCTCCCCTCCCACATCCTGCCTCGCCTTCCCACCCAGCCCATATGCCGCTGCTCTCGGCCCCTTCCCCTCTGAACCAACCGAACCTCGCTTTCTGCTGCCCTCCTTGCTGTTGCTCCCTTCCCTCTCCCTATCTCTCCTGTCCGCCCTCCCCTCATCTGCAACCTCCTCCTTGTCTTCGTCTCTGCGTGCTTCTCTCGGCTGCACTGTCTTGGACGCTGCTAGCTTTGACTTGAAGCGGTTCAGAAGCTCAAGAGTCTGGGCGAGGGATGAGGAAGGTACAAGGGAGGGACAAGGGAGGTACAAGGGAGGGACAAGGGAGGGATGATTAAGAGGAACCGGTATGACCAATGATTGTAGGACACTCTGAAGAAAACACATAGCACCCATGAAGCTCTGAGCTTTGGACACTCTGTTCGTACACCAAGCTCAGAAAGAAAATAGGAACTAGTAAAACTATCGTAAAGCTGATGCTGAAGCACTGGGGGCAATCCATCTAGGTCTCGGCCCGTTCTACTAAGCTTACCTCTTAACCATACGTCCACAACAACCCGACTTCACCCACAGCTGCACACCCTAACAAAGCTCTGAGAATTCTCCACAGCAAACATTTGGGAAAACTCAAATGCGACCATTTCACTAGCAACATGTGGCTGTCCCAACAACACGTCCACATCCACGACAAGCTGACTTCCCATCCCAGCCACATGCTCTACGAAACGATGACTAACTCTTCAGCACTCTCGCTCACCTTCTCTTGTCTCAACCCCAGAGCTCGTTTCTCTTGCACTCTTGCCTCATCTGCTGCCGCCTCTCCCCCCTTCCCCTCCAGTGACTGACACCCGCCTCCCTTTGCTTCCACACACCCTAAGAAACTTTGCCAAGCCTTTCTGCGCCCTCTGCACCATCAGCACCCTCACTCGCTCACCTTCTCTTGTCTGGACCCCAGAGCTCGTTTCCGCTGCCTCATCTGCTGCCGCCTCTCCTCCTCCTCCCCCAACAACCCTCCTCCCGCTGAACCTCCCCCTCCTCCCCCCTCCCCTCCTCCCTTCCCCACTCCCTTCGCCCCTTTCCTCAATCGCAGCTTCTCCACCCTCACCCTCCCCTTCCCTCCTCTCCCTCCCTCCTCATCACTCCCATCACTACCATCACTGTCACCACTCCCATCCTCATCATCCTCCTCCTTTTTTGCTCGTTCCTCCTTCGCTCGCCCCCCTTGTGCCTGCTCCCCAGTGCCAGCCCCATCCTGGCTTCTCGTTGCACTTTTCCCCTCCCTCTCCCCTCCATCTCCCACTCCTCCTCTCCCTGCTTTCTCCCCTCTCCGCCCCCCCTCACTCGCACCCCCATGTTTCCCAAACCGTCGTTGTTTCTCCAGCACCCTTCTCCTCATCAGCTCATCAAAACTCGCTTCCTCTCCCTCACCTTCCTCCTCGCCCTCGTCTCCGCTCTCCTCCCTGCCTCCTCTATCCCTTCCCCTTACTTCCTCAGGACCCACTGAACCGACCTTATTCCCCCTCTTTCCAACCATCTCTTCCCCCTTCCTGCCTCTCCTGCTCCCACCCTCACCGTCAGCATCCTCCCCTTTTCTGCCATCGTCTCTCCCTCTAACAAGCCTCTCTCCTTCTCTACCCCCTACTCTCTCCCTTTCTCTCCCCCCTTCTCTTCGCCCGTTCTCCTCGTCTTCATCTTCCTCTTCTGAGTCCCCTCCCCGTCCGGCCAGCTTTTGCTGAACTGCCTCCGCTGTTTCCTGGGTATAAAAAGGCAAACAGAAGAGAAGAACCCCCGGTCGGAGGTAGGCGGGCGGAGATGGGAGGAGGGGACGGAGAGGGTGGGAGGGGGGGGGGGGGGGGGGAGAGAGGGGGAGGGGATGAAGAAGAAAATGTTGTTATTATAATTATATATATTAATCTCGTAAGTCTGAAAGAAAACATGATGATAGAGAATGTATTTTAACAAGTTCACTCCCCGAGTTGCTGTCAACAACTTACAGCAGTCAACATCGCTTCACCCCTGCTTCCCCAAATGACTCACCGCCAGCAGCCTAAGGAACTTGAGAATGTCATGGCTGCTTTCTACACTTGGCCCTCCTCCTCCCTTATCCGCCCTATCTCCCCTCCATGTACCGACCTTCATCACCAAGCTTTCAATCACTCACAGCCAGCAGCCGAAGGTACTTGATAAACATCATGGCTGTTTTTGAGACGTTTCAAAAACAACCTCGCTGCACGAAGGTCCTTGAAAAACATCATGGCTGCTTTTCATTCTCAGGTTCGCTTTCTACACTTGAGCCTCCCTCCGTTCCTCCCTCCCCTTCACCACATAGCCCCCCCCCACCCCAATCACCTCGTTCATAAGTCACACTCACAGCCAGCCAGCAGGCGAGGGTCCTTGAGAACATCACGACTGCTCCTCATTCTCACATTCCCTTCCTCCAGTTGAGCCCCCTCCACTTGAGTGCCCCCCCAGTAAACCCGCGCCCACTTTCCCTTCCCTTCAATCTCAAGTTCCGCCTACAACTCACAGCCAGAAGGTTTTTTGAGACGTCTCAAAACAATCCCAGATCCGCCTACAACTCACAGCCAGAAGGCGAGGCGAGGGTCCTTGAGCACATCCTCACATTCGCTTCCTCCAGTTGAGCCTCCGCCCTCCTCCCCCTCCACCTACCCTCCTCCCCTACCCATCAAATCACTCACAGCCAGCAGACGAGGGTCCTTGAGAACATCGTGGCTGCTCCTCATTCTCAGGTTCGCTTCCTCCAGTTGAGCCTCCTCATTCGCTTCAACATTTCTCCTCATTCTTTTGTCCCTAGACCCTCAAATGACTCACAGCCAGCAGGCGAGGGTCCTTAAGCACGTCGTGGCTGCTCCTCATTCTCAGGTTCGCCTCCTCCAGTTGAGCCTCCTCATTCGCTTCCACACCTCTCCTCATTCTTTTGTCCCTAGACCCTCAAATGACTCACAGCCAGCAGGCGAGGGTCCTTAAGCACGTCGTGGCTGCTCCTCATTCTCAGGTTCGCCTCCTCTAGTTGAGCCTCCTCCTCCTCCGCCTCCTCTCCAAACGAAAGGAGATTCAACTGCCTGGTGAATGAACACGAGCAGGGTGAAACCCACACGCAGTTGAGTGGCAATTTGGTGACATATGGGTGCGTGGGTTGGAAATTTGGCATTCTTTCTTTCTTTCTATCTTTCTATCTTTCTATCTTTTTTTTTTTTTTTTTTTTTTTTTTTTCTTTTTTTTTTCTCCAATCAGGGGCGCAGATTGGTAACGGCTTGACATCGTTAGCAGAAGTTTAAGACAGCAACCAGTGATCGTCTTACTTTTCTTCGACCCGAGACTGCTGCTGCCTCCGTTTATCCTTGTCTCTGCCCTGACTCTTCGTAGCGAATCATATGTTTGTGCGCTTAGAAGTTAGAAGAGGATTACAAGGCCAGAAGCTTTTTGAGGCGCCTCAAAAACGACCTATATGTTTGTGCGCTTAGAGGTTGATTTTGAGAATTCTCAAAATCAACCTCAAACAAAATTAGAAGAGGATTACAAGGCCAGAAGCTTACTTACTTGATTCCTTCGATTTGACCTCCGCCTGAGCGTGCTGCTGCCTCCGCTTCTCTGTCTCTCGGCTCTGGCTCTTCTCCGTGCTTACTAGTTGCTACTACCATTGTCTTCTTTGCAAAAATATAGAAACGCCTGGCTCAGCTTACTTTGTTCCTTTGACTTCAGACTGTTGCTGCCTCCGCTTCTCCTTGTCCCTGCCTCGGCTCTTCGCCACGGTTTCTTGCTGCTGTCTTGCAGGCAGTGTCCTCGGAACGATGTCCTCAAAAGGGTTCCAGATGACCTGCAATGCAAGGGAGGGAGGGTTTTTCAAAGAGGGTACAGTGACAGTGCCTTGTGTTGTGTGAGACAATATGTTGCTGTCTAGCAGGCAGTGTCCTGGGAAGGATGTCCTCGAATGGGTTCCAGATGACCTGCAATGCAAGGGAGGGAGGGTTTTTCAAAGAGGGTACAGTGACAGTGCCTTGTGTTGTGTGAGACAATATGTTGCTGTCTAGCAGGCAGTGTCCTGGGAAGGATGTCCTCGAATGGGTTCCAGATGACCTGCAATGCAAGGGAGGAGGGGGGGGGGGGGTTGTGCAGAGAGAGAGGATGTGGTGGCACGCCTCCCCGGGGCCGGGAGTGCACGCCTTCCTCCGCAGCTGCGCCGAGCTCGCAGGCAAACGGCGGTTCAACGCTGCGCCGAAGTCAAGGGAGGTGGCCAGGCTCCTCACGGAGTACCGGCACGGCAGCGCTGGAGTGTGACACTCCAGCGCGCCCAGGCCAACGCCCTTCGCGACAAGACCCACGAGGCCATTGCCGCGGATGAGCTCGGCCTGCAAGGCCCGTTTGGCAGCTTGGGTGAGGAGCAGCTGTACCAGCTGCTGGAAGACCCCACAGGCCAGTAGGGCCGTGGGGAGGAGGGGTAGGGGAGGGATGAGTAGCGGTACCCTTGTGTGTTTGTTTGGTTGTTGGTTTGCTTGTTTGTCGTTTGATTGTTTAGACTAGCTTAGCGCCCATGTCTGTACCTTGACGATATTAATACAAAGGACCGTTCGAGGATGTGGTGGCAATGTGTTGCTGAGACAATGGCATTGTCTTCTGCTGACTCATGCTGACTCATGCCGGTTCATGCTGGCTGACTCATGCCGGTTCATGCTGACTTATGCTGACTCATGCTGACTTATGCTGACTCATGCTGACTCACCTCCACACTGATAATCGACGGTGGATCAAACGGCCTGTCGTTGTCGTCAGTATCCACCTCCCCCAGTCGCACCGCGTTGAAGATGGTGTCTCCTGTGATCTGCGTGTGTGTGAGAGGCATGGGAAAGAGGGGAAAGCGGGGTAAGAGGCATGTCGTTGTCGTCAGTATCCACCTTCCCCAGTCGCACCGCGTTGAAGATGGTGTCTCCTGTGATCTACACGTGTATGTGTGTGTTTGCGCGTGTTTGAGGTAAGGGAAAAGGGAAAAAGTGGGGTAAGAGGCCTGTAGTTGTCGTCAGTATCCACCTCCCCCAGTCGCACCGCGTTGAAGATGGTGTCTCCTGTGATCTGCAGCAGGGGAGGGGTGGAAGGGGCGAAGAGGGGAGAGAACATCCCCTTTTCATGGTATTGAACAGGATTCGCCCTTGAATGCCTCCATACACACGTCAATACCATACCATACCATCATTCTGATCAGCCCCACCCATCCATGCATCCCATTATCCCATACACCATGCCACCATACCACACCTTGCCAAAGATGGTGTGTTTCTTGTCCAGCCAGTCGCAGCGGTCCAGGGTGAAGAACCACTGGCTGCCGTTGCTGTGGGGCGCGCCCGCATTGGCGCCTTAACTCACCAGAACCAGTGCTGGCAAACCTGCCTTGCTAAAGGTGGCAACCCACCCACCCACCCACCTTGCCAAAGATAGTGTGTTTCTTATCCAGCCAGTCACATCTGTCGAGAGTGAAGAACCACTGGCTGCCGTTGCTGTGGGGCGTGCCTGCATTGGCTCCTCAACACAACGCACCAGTGCTATCATGCCTGCACATACACGCCTGCCATACCAGCACACCTTACCAAAGCTGGTGACCCACCCACCTTGCCAAAGATGGTGTGTTTCTTGTCCAGCCAGTCGCAGCGATCCAGAGTGAAGAATCACTGGCTGCCGTTGCTGTGAGGTGTGCTCTGTAACACCCACCCACCCATACATGGACACCCCACCACACCTTGCCAAAGATGGTGTGTTTCTTGTCCAGCCAGTTGCAGCGATCCAGAGTGAAGAATCACTGGCTGCCGTTGCTGTGAGGTGCGCTCTGTAACACCCACCCACCCATACATGGACACCCCACCACACCTTGCCAAAGATGGTGTGTTTCTTGTCCAGCCAGTCGCAGCGATCCAGAGTGAAGAATCACTGGCTGCCGTTGCTGTGAGGTGTGCTCTGTAACACCCACCCACCCATACATGGACACCCCACCACACCTTGCCAAAGATGGTGTGTTTCTTGTCCAGCCAGTCGCAGCGATCCAGAGTGAAGAATCACTGGCTGCCGTTGCTGTGAGGTGTGCTCTGTAACACCCACCCACCCATACATGGACACCCCACCACACCTTGCCAAAGATGGTGTGTTTCTTGTCCAGCCAGTCGCAGCGGTCGAGAGTGAAGAACCACTGGCTGCCATTGCTGTGAGGCGCACCCGCATTGGCGCACGCGACGAGGCCACGGTGGGAGAAGCGCAGGCGCGAGTGAAACTCGTCCTTGAACGGCTCTCCATAGATCGACTCGCCCCCTGTCCCGGATCCTGTGGGGTCCCCGCCCTGTGGTGTTGGAGGAGATGCGGAGTAGAGGGTGAGATTAGAGAGAGAGCTAGCTTAGGGAGAAGTGCAGGCGCGAGTGGACCTCGTCCTTGAACGGCTCCCCGTAGATCGACTCGCCCCCTGTGCCTGATCCTGTGGGATCGCCTCCCTGCAGCATGTGCAGAGAGGAAACGGGGAAGGTAAGATGAACCAGCAACACGAGAAGCGCAGGCGCGAGTGGACCTCGTCCTTGAAGGGCTCCCCGTAGATTGACTCGCCTCCTGTCCCGGGCCCAGTTGGGTCGCCTCCCTGCGGCGTGGTTGGAGGGGGAGTGGAGGCAGCGAGGGTACAGGGAGTGACTGAGGCATGAGAGCAAAGGGAGAAACGCAGGCGCGAGTGGAGCTCGCCCTTGACAGGCTCCCCGTAAAATGACTCGCCTCCTGTCCCGGACCCAATGGGTCGCCTCCCTGCAAATGCGAGGAGAGGGAGAGTGGAGAAGGTAAGATGAACTAGCAAGGGCAGAAGCGGGGGCGCGAGTGGAGCGCGCCCTTGACAGGCTCTTTGTAGATTGACTCACGCCGACCCCCGTGCCTGATCCTGTCAGTAGGTCTCCATCTCCACCCTCGAATGTGAGAGGAGAGGGAGCGGCGGATGAGGTTGATGAATGAGGCGCAGCTGAATCTCATTCGCCTGCACCATGAGCCAGTGATCATGCGGTGGGAAACGAGTTGTGAGCTACTTCAGAACCAGTTTTGCTTGCACGTGGTGTTACTTGGGCCAAATCTCACCTCTACCGGGTGTAACCTGCACCAGATCTCACCTGCACCAGATCTCACCTGCACCGAATCTCACCTGCACCGAGTGCTACCTGCACCAGGTCGCACCTGCACCATGAAGCCAATTATGATGCGGTGAAAGATGGTTTTGTCGTAGTACCCTTTCAAATATCACCTGCACCAGGTCTCACCTGCACCATGAAGCCAGCTATGATGCGGTGGAAGATGGTCTTGTCGTAGTACCCCTTCAGATATCACTTGCACCAGTTATCACCTGCACCAGGTCTCACCTGCACCAGGACTCACCTGCACCATGAAGCCAGTTATGATGCGGTGAAAGATAGTTTTGTCGTAATAACCCTCCAGGCACAGCTGCACGAAATTTCGCACCTGACAGGGGGATGATTGGGGAGGGGGATGAGGGATGATTGGGGAGGGATGAGGGATGATTGGGGAGGGATGAGGGATGATTGGGGAGGGGGATGAGGGATGATTGGGGAGGGGGATGAGGGATGATTGGGGAGGGATGAGGGATGATTGGGGAGGGGGATGAGGGATGATTGGGGAGGGGGATGAGGGATGATTGGGGAGGGATGAGGGATGATTGGGGAGGGATGAGGGATGATTGGGGAGGGATGAGGGATGATTGGGGAGGGATGAGGGATGATTGGGGAGGGGGATGAGGGATGATTGGGGAGGGATGAGGGATGATTGGGGAGGGATGAGGGATGATTGGGGAGGGATGAGGGATGATTGGGGAGGGATGAGGGATGATTGGGGAGGGATGAGGGATGATTGGGGAGGGATGAGGGATGATTGGGGAGGGATGAGGGATGATTGGGGAGGGATGAGGGATGATTGGGGAGGGATGAGGGATGATTGGGGAGGGATGAGGTATGATTGGGGAGGGATGAGGGATGATTGGGGAGGGATGAGGGATGATTGGGGAGGGATGAGGGATGATTGGGGAGGGATGAGGGATGATGAGGGGAGATGAAGGGTGATGAGGTGATGGGGGGTGAGAGGCGGAGAGGCGGAAGGTGAAACAAGGAGGAAAAAGATGGAATTATACTCAGCACTCTGGGGCTTCACGTGATCGCATTTCAATCACCCTGCCAGTTCAATATCAAGGTCGCACAAGGCGGTCTTACAGTTTCTTATGGTCACTGTGATGGATGGAGGAATCTGAACGCTGCTTGCTTTGCTTTACGAGTAAGCAAGGACATATCAAGGTCAGGTCACCCGAGGCACTGGTTGTGATTACTACAGTGATGGTAACCAACAGCTGTTACAATGGTACTGGTTACCACATCGGTACTGCGCTACAGCAGTGCTGGTTACCACATCAGCGTTGCCGGGAGGCCGAAATTTCACTGCGTTTGGCGGCTTCACGCTCACCCAAGGTGCTGATGGTAACCACCCAGTGTTGGAGTGTTACTGGTTACCAGGATTTTGCTGCAGGGAAAGGAAAATCTCACCGCTTTCGGGGCTTCACGAGGCCAGAGCTCGATATCGAGATCGCCCAACGTGGTGGTAACCACCACCTTGCCTTGCGTCGGCGGCTCGAGCACGTATATGCTCGACATGGTTGCTCCTAACCCTCCGTTATTGTCACAGGTAGTTACTGTCACAAGCTACTGTTGGCTTGCAATGTGCGAATGGCACGGATGTCTGAATGAAGGCTGATTTCAAGCAAGAAACCGACGGCCTGTAGGAGCGTGGGCTTAGTTACGCGGTAGAGGAGAAGTTACACGCGAATCGAACTTAGGTAATAAGTTGGCCTGGCGATTATAAATGGCAGGGCTACCAGGGCGCTTCGCCATGCTATGCTTGAAGTGCCCTCGATAGTGACGAGGATCTGCCTGTGAAAACTGGACTGATCCAACACCCTCTGTAATAGAAACGATTTTCAAATGGATTCACTCGCTGATATTTGAATTCAAAAAGGCGTCTCATATCGGGGATAGTATTGTGCCAGATCAGAGCATTGACAGCTTGTCTCCGCAACATCCATGTCAGCGCCAGCGCGCACAACCACTTTTCGCCGCACCTCTCTCGTGCATGCCGAACCAGCCCTGCTGGCAACGGTCCAGTGTGATGTGTAGGTCACGATTGGCTTAGCTGGAGAACAAAAGGCGAAGACGCAGGCTCGGGTAAAACCAAACCTTCTGGAAGCTAGGTAATGCTGGCCCGGAGAAGGGAGTGTTTCATTGTTCATGTTCGCTCGGATCGAACCGAGGAGCAATTTGTGTATTCTGTTGAGTGGAGGATGCGACCCTTCTTGATTGCCAAACAAACTCAAGAGCAAACCTACCAGACTGCAGTTCCTCGAGACCTTCGAATTCGAATAGTGACGTCACAATGTTCTGAATAGGACCTACACTGTCGAGTCGAGACACAAACGCGACCAGCAGGGCTGTCGATTGGTTTGGAGCCAGAACTTGAGAGGCTGAGGTGCCCCAAAAGTTGCCCTGAAATTTACGGGCTGAGAGCAAACCTGGCACTTGAAATCAGGGCTACCAACTTTTCTGCACTTTCGCTAAGGAAAACCTACATCTCTTCGGGTCCGTATCCTAGGCAAACTACTAAGAGCCAGCTAGGCAAAAGTCTGAGGTTCGAAACATGTCGATGGATTTGACGGGGATGGGAAAAGGAAGTAGGGGAGTGGCTGGGAGGAGGTGGGGGGACTGGTGAGCGATTGGGAGGGAGGGAGGTATTAGTATGGGACGATAAGGGCTAGCCGCGGGAACTGCACTTAAAATCCGGGTTAGGCCCACAACCAGAACTTTGCGGGAAAGGGCTGCCCTCAAAGCCAGCCCCTAAACTTCGGAAGCTGGGCCGAACCCAACCCTTAATGTTCAGGGCATTAAGGGCATTTGCCCTTGAATCGTCAGCCCTGGCGACCAGCCTCGTCCGTTGAGTGATCCAGTCAGTCAGGAGGACCTTTTGGTGGTGGTGATGATGAGGCGAGGTGATCATTCCAGCCAGTCACTCCACAATGCAGTATTAGGAACTCCCTTCAAGACGCGTTTCCCGCATCTTGATCACAAGACGGAGCCATCTCCGTAATTCCGCAACTCTGTCTTAGAACCGACTATAGCTGAGCACTGGACGACGTCTTGTGTCGCGTGTCTCGCTGGAAGCTTCCATACAGTGATCTATCAGCGCGTAGGCCGGAAGCCATCTAGAGCTTCTCATTTAGGAACAATGGTCAGAGTGCTACGATGATACCGCCCGTGTTTCATTAATTCACTTAGTCGACTTAGTCGCTAAACTGTAGGCCGAAGGTCAGTTTCGTTTACTTCCTGGTTGCCTGGCGTCAGGAGTTGTCTCTCAGCAGGGAAGGATGCAGAGGATAGTGGATCACGCCGTCGGGGTGGCGAAGGAGTAAGTTCCGTTTTGGTCCTCATTCAACTCATGCCGTTAGAGTTCTTGCGCGTGGGAACTAACTTTTGAGTCGACTCAAAAGGATGCAGAGGATAGTGGACCACGCCGTGGGGGTGGCCAAGGAGTAGGTTCAGCTTGAATCCGTACCCACATCACGCCGTTAGAGCCCTTTCTTTGTCTTGACTCAGATTCCGCGTTTGCTTTGAGTCTGTTGCATTTGAGGCGTCTCAGCAGACCGTCAGAGCCGCTGCGAGGCAGAGGAAAGAATTCGTGTGAAACTGTTACATCCAGTTTCTTTTGTGTCGTCCTCATGGTATCACTTTCTTTCTTCCTCGTTCCGTTTCCTCGTTCTCTTGTTTCGAGCTTCGCGGCATGGGATCCAGACATCTGTTTATAGTAGTTTTTGGAGTCCTAAAGATACCGTTTTTTATCCATCTCCACCGTATGTCATCTGTTCCAAAGCCTTGGCATCAGGGATTCTCTGTTTTGATCCTCCGCAAGAAATGGATGTCAGGTTACAGAGTCGATCCAGAGGTCTGAAAACGGAATCCGTCACGTATCCGTCCCGAGTCCAGGATATGTCCAGACTCCAATTGCATCTGGCTATCTTGAGGCGCCTTGGGAAAAAAAATATGAAAAAGTCGTGGGTGCGCAATCACTCTACCTGGTCTCTACCCGAACTCGTGTTTTTTCCGTCCGTCGCGTTTTCTGTCACGTTTTCTGTCAACGTTTACAGGTCCGTCAAAGCCGCATCTCGCGAGGCGTTCCACAACACGGCCAACTTTGTCAACTCGGCGTCAGCGCTGGTGCTGGCGTGTCTCCCCAACAAGTCGCCCATCACCGAAGGGCTCCATGGCTCCTGGGACCTCCGCCCCACCTTCCGCCCCCCCCGCCTCCCCGCCTGGATGGCCCAGTACGTTTCATTCATAGTTGCTGGGGAGGGGGGGGAAAGAGATTTATTGCAGAGGAAAGGGAAGGTTCTCTTTGTCCTGCCGTCCGCTTCCCCCTCGCCTCCCCGCCTGGGTGGCATGGCACAGTGCATACGTGGGTTCAGGTGCGTGATGGATGGGTGAGTGAATGGCGTGGCCGACAGCGCTGGTGCTGGCGTGTCTGCCCAACAAGTCGCCCATCACCGAAGGGCTCCATGGCTCCTGGGACCTCCGCCCCACCTTCCGCTCGCCGCGCCTCCCCGCCTGGATGGCCCAGTACGTTATAGTGCAGCTGGGGAAGAGGGGGGAAAGGGGAGGGGAGGAGGGGGGGGGGAGGATGGGGGGGGGGGGGGGGGGGGGGGGGGTGGGGATTTAGATTAGACAGAAGGTACTCTTTTTCTTCCTGCCCTTCGCTCCCTGTGCCTGCCCGCCTGGATGGCGCAGTACGTTACAGTGCAGCTGCGCTGCTGTGGTGATTGGGATTTGGAGATATGATAAATACTCTCTAGTGGGATTCCGTTACCCTGCATTTGCGTCCTTGCTCTTGGTTTTTTCCATTCTCCCACTCAGGTTTCCGCTCCCTTTTCCTCCGTGTTTCTTACTCATCCGTATCCTATTCTATCTCTCTCTTCCCTGGTCTGCTCCTCCTTCCACTCCAAACAGACAGAGGTGGTTCCTCCCTGAACGCGTTTCATCCGTTTCCCACTCTGTCTCTTCCCCTGGTCTCTGCTCTCCACTTCCCTGCTCTTCTGTTCCCTCTTCTGTCTTGCTCTTCCCTTCCCTTCCAACAGGGGTGGTTCCTCTTTGAATGCTTTTCTACACGAGTTCGTCGACACTATAGACGAGTTCCACCTCGACTCCAGCTCCAACTACGGTAACGGGGACGACGAAAACGAGGACAGCGACGCGGATAGCGAGGAGGACAATAACGAGGATGACGACGACGACAGGGCGTCGATGCACAGCATCGGTAGCAGCAGTAGCAGCAGGGGAGGAGGGGGAACAGCAAGGAGGAGGAGGAGGGGCATGGGTGGAGGTGGAGGAGGAGGAAGGAGGGGTGCGTTTGACTCTCTGCCTGCGAGTCCCCTTAGTCGCAGCAGCAGCAGCTTTGACAGAAGCAGATCGCCTAGTCCGTTTTTGAGGGAGAGGAGTGGGGTTGGGGAGAGGAATGGAGTGGGGGATGCTACAGGGATTTGGGGATGGCTGTGGCGGTGGGTTTTGTTTTTCCTGTGGCCGCTGCTGTGGGTGTTTGGGTTCAGGGTTACGGATGGGCATGGTAAGCAACACCACCACCACCACCACTACCACCACCACCATCAGCAGCAGCAGCAGCATCAGCATCAGCAGCCACATCACCACAAGGAACAGCAGCAGCAACAGCAGCAGCAGCATCTAGGGAACCATCATCAACTCAATCAACAACAGCCGTTGGATGATCGAGGCAGGCCTCCCAGCACCGTAGATCCTACCATTCGTCGCCAGATGCCCCATCCCCCATCTTTCTCCTCCTTCGACCCCTCGGCCTCACCCCAAACCCCCTCCCCCTCTTCCCATAGTGCGCCCACCCTCTCTTCTGCTCCCGCCACCACTGCCGCTGCCGCTGCTGCTGCTGCCGCCGCCTCCGCTGCTGCTGCTGCAGCAGCTGCTGCTGGGGCACTAGCAGCAGTATCCTCGGAAGGAGCAGCCTCAGCTGCAGCAACAGCAGCAGCACCAGACATGTACAAAGCCAGAGGAGTAGGCACCGCTGCTGCTGATGATTCTGCTGCTGATGCTGATGCTGCTGATACGCTTGCTCCAAGTGCCGTTGATAGTACTACTGCCTCCCCTCCTGCCACCCCCGTCCAGGCCTGGCCTGGTTACCCGATCTTCAGCCCTAGGTTTGGCCCGCACAGCCGCAGCAGCAGCTCCAGCAGTCTCTCGCGCCAGCTGTCGATTGCGAGTGCGGATCTGGGGAAGCGACTGGGAGACGTGTTTGAGTACATGACGCACCTCAACATGAACCACTTGAACGACTTCCGAAGGTATTGTGTAGCTTGTATGTATGTATGCCCTTGGTTCGACTGTAAGGCTGTCGGTCGCGAGTGCGGATCTCGGCTTGGGCGGCGACTGCGACTGCGAGACGTGTTTTGAGTACATGACACACCTCAACATGAACCACCTGAATGATTTCCGCAGGTAGGGCATCTGTGTCTGTATTTGACTTGTTTGAGAAGCAGTCGATGGGAGAGTGGAACTTGTCTTGGGCAGCGACTGCGAGACGTGTGTGTTTTGAGTACATGACGCACCTCAACATGAACCACCTGAACGATTTCCGCAGGTAAGGCACCTCCTTACTGTGTTTGACTTGACTGAATAGCAGCTTATGGTGAAAACTGATCTCTGCTTGGGCGGCGACTGGGGGACATGGTTTGAGTACATGACGCACCTCAACATGAACCACGTCAATGACTTTTGCTGGTAGTGCGTCTGTTTGTACATTTGTGTGTATGTATGTCCTTCATTCGACTGAAAGGCTGTCGATTGCTAGTGTGGATTTCGGGCAGCGACTGTGAGATGTGTTTGAATACATGACGCACCTCAACATGAATCACCTGAATGATTTCCGCAGGTAATGTATAGCGTCTGTGTATTTATGCCTTGGAGCGTCTGTGTATGTATGCCCTGGATTCGACTGAAAGGCTGTCAGTCGCGAGTGCAGATCTCGGTTTGGGAGGCAACTGGGGGACGTGTTTGATGTTTGAGTACATGACGCACCTCAACATGAACCACCTCAATGACTGCAGGTGATTCATATTTTTGCGTATGCCCTTGGTTCGACTGAAAAGCTGTCGACTGCTAGTGCAAAACTTGGGGAAGTATTTGATGCCGTGTGGTCGGTGATTCTCTTCTGTCTCTTCCCCTGGAGGCTCCTCTCCTTCCTCTTCAGCTCCTTGCCGTTTCTTTCTTTGGTATGGCCCATGCAGGCACGGAGTGTTGGAGGACTTGCAGCTCTTCTGGGAGCTGGTCGTCGAGCGCTTCTTTGACGCCGTGCGGTTGATGATCCCGCAGGCCCATATGAGTGAATGACTCACCACCTCCGCTGCACGCATGCCCACCTGCCTTTATGGCCTCTGCAGGCACGGAGTGTTGGAGGACTTGCAGCTCTTCTGGGAGCTGGTCGTCGAGCGCTTCTTTGACGCCGTGTGTCGATCGGATGGCCGTGGCTCTAATTGCATTCACATGTTTGATTCACTCACCTCCTCCACACACACATGCCCGGGACTTGATTCAATTGGTTTGTGCAGGCACGGGGTTCTGGAGGATCTGCAGCTCTTCTGGGAGCTGGTCATCGAGCGCTTCTTTGACGCCGTGCGGTCGGTGCTGCTCTTCTGCCTCTTCCCCTGGAGGCTCCTCTCCTTCCTCTTCTCTCCGCTGCTGCGCCTCCTAGGCCTCCCAGTCGCCCCCTCACAGGGCCTCCTTCAACCCTCACCTGAAGCTGCCGCATCTGCTGCATCTGGTGCTGGTGCTGCTGCTGGTGGGATGTGGGGTGCTGCTGCGTTCAGTGCGCCAGCAGCAGATGTGGCGCCGGAAAGCAGTACAGCAGAGCACCTGTCGCAGCTGCAGATGCAGCAGCAGGAGGAGCACGAGCGGCAGCAGCAGCAGAATGAGCAGCAGCAGGGGCAGAGCCGGTGGCAGCAGCAGCAGCGGCTGCGGCAAGCTGAGGCGCTGCATGGACCGCGACTCATGGACGCCCGGACGTGTGAAGATATCATCCGAGACGCTGGGTGAGTGCTGGCTTGTGGGCGTATTACACGTATTAGGAGTCCTTGTAACCAAAAGGTAGGCAGGCTGAGGCGCTGCATGGGCCGCGGCTCATGGACGCCCGGACGTGTGAAGATATCATCCGAGACTCTGGTTGAGTGCTGGCTTGTGGGCGTATTACACGTATTAGGAGTCCTTGTAACCAAAAGGTAGGCAGGCTGAGGCGCTGCATGGGCCGCGGCTCATGGACGCCCGGACGTGTGAAGATATCATCCGAGACGCTGGGTGAGTGCTGGCTTGTGTGCGTATTACACGTATTAGGAGTCCTTGTAACCAAAAGGTAGGCAGGCTGAGGCGCTGCATGGGCCGTGGCTCATGGACGCCCGGACGTGTGAAGATATCATCCGAGACGCTGGGTGAGTGCTGGCTTGTGGGCGTATTACACGTATTAGGAGTCCTTGTAACCAAAAGGTAGGCAGGCTGAGGCGCTGCATGGGCCGTGGCTCATGGACGCCCGGACGTGTGAATATATCATCCGAGACGCTGGGTGAGTGCTGGCTTGTGGGCGTATTACACGTATTAGGAGTCCTTGTAACCAAAAGGTAGGCAGGCTGAGGCGCTGCATGGGCCGCGGCTCATGGACGCCCGGACGTGTGAAGATATCATCCGAGACGCTGGGTGAGTGCTGGCTTGTGTGCGTATTACACGTATTAGGAGTCCTTGTAACCAAAAGGTAGGCAGGCTGAGGCGCTGCATGGGCCGCGGCTCATGGACGCCCGGACGTGTGAAGATATCATCCGAGACGCCGGGTGAGTGCTGGATAGCTTGTCGCGTTGTGACGTGGTGGTTGTTGTTTGTTGTCGTTGTCTACGAGTGAGGCATCTCAAAAGGCGGGCTGAGTCACTGCATCGGCCACGGCTCATGGAGCTGACTTTTGAGTCGACTCAAAAGACATCTGAAAAGGCGGGCTGAGTCACTGCATCGGCCACGGCTCATGGAGCTGACTTTTGAGTCGACTCAAAAGACATCTCAAAAGGCGGGCTGAGTCACTGCATCGGCCCCACGGCTCATGGATGGACGGACGTGTGAAGATATCATTAGGGACGCTGGGTGAGAGCTGGATAGCTTGTGACCCAGCCCGCCTCTGTGCAACTCACATTGAGTGTAGTTGTGATACCTACTGAGTTGTAGTTGTGATACCTACTGAGTTGTAGTTGTGATACCTACTGAGTTGTAGTTGTGATACCTACTGAGTTGTAGTTGTAGTCACCATTGTACAACTACTTTCGCAAGCAGGCTTGCATACACTCACACCTCTTCTGTTTTCCTCCTTGTTCCTACCGGCCCACCAGGTACCCCTATGAAGCGATCAAGGTGGTGACAGAGGACGGGTACGTGCTGACACTGGACTGGAGTACATCCCGAGGAGAAGGACCCATACTCTCATGCACTCATGCACTCATGCACTCATGCACTCATGCCTCTCTCTTCCCCCACCAGGTACCCCCACGAGGCTATCAAGGTGGTAACCGAGGACGGGTACGTGCTCACACTGGAGCGCATCCCCCGAGGAAGGTCACACTCACACATGCAGGCTTGAATGTACGCATGCCTTTCTCTCTCCGCTGTGCTCTGATCTCTCCTCCCGCCAGGTACCCCTACGAGGCCATCAAGGTGGTAACGGAGGACGGGTACGTGCTCGCACTGGAGCGCTTCCCCCGAGGAAGGTCACACTCACACATGCAGGCTTGAATGTACGCATGCCTTTCTCTCTCCGCTGTGCTCTGATCTCTCCCCCCGCCAGGTACCCCTACGAGGCTATCAAGGTGGTAACGGAGGATGGTTACGTGCTCGCACTGGAGCGCTTCCCCCGAGGAAGGTCACACTCACACATGCAGACTTGAATGTACGCATGCCTTTCTCTCTCCGCTGTGCTCTGATCTCTCCCCCCACCAGGTACCCCTACGAGGCCATCAAGGTGGTAACGGAGGATGGTTACGTGCTCGCTCCCACTGGAGCGCGCATCCGAAGTCAAGGCACCTCTTAATTCCTGCACTCATGCCACTCTCCTCTCCCCACACCAGATACCCCTACGAAGCGATCAAGGTGGTGACAGAGGACGGCTATGTGCTCACGTTGGAACGCATCCCGAGGAAGGACTCTTCCCGGGTGGTGTTCCTGCAGCACGGCATTCTCGACAGCTCCATTGGGTGAGCGTTAGCACGGGGACCAGGGATGCAATGTGTGAGTGCATGTCGTGTGAGTGCATGTCGTGTGAGTGCATGTCGTGTGAGTGCATGTCGTGTGAGTGCATGTCGTGTGAGTGCATGTCGTGTGAGTGCATGTTGTGTGAGTGCATGTTGTGTGAGTGCATGTTGTGTGAGTGCATGTTGAGTGCTTGGGTTTTTCATCTAGGGGAAAAGACTCGTCCAGGGTAGTCTTTCTGCAGCATGGCATTCTCGACAGCTCCATTGGGTGAGCGTTAGCACGGGGACCAGGGATGCAATGTGTGAGTGCATGTCGTGTGAGTGCATGTTGTGTGAGTGCATGTCGTGTGAGTGCATGTTGTGTGAGTGCATGTTGTGTGAGTGCATGTTGAGTGCTTGGGTTTTTCATCTAGGGGAAAAGACTCGTCCAGGGTAGTCTTTCTGCAGCATGGCATTCTCGACAGCTCCATTGGGTGAGCGTTAGCACGGGGACCAGGGATGCAATGTGTGAGTGCATGTCGTGTGAGTGCATGTCGTGTGAGTGCATGTCGTGTGAGTGCATGTCGTGTGAGTGCATGTTGTGTGAGTGCATGTTGAGTGCTTGGGTTTTTCATTTAGGGGAAAAGACTCGTCCAGGGTAGTCTTTCTGCAGCATGGCATTCTCGACAGCTCCATTGGGTGAGGGGCCGGGGGGGGCTGGGAACATTGAGTGAAAGCATCAAGTGAGTGCCAGGGGGGGACGGGTGGGTGGGTGCTTTGGTTATTTGGAATGTTTCAAGACGCGTATCTTATGATCCTGCTTGTTTGTTTCGTATGTTTCTTCACAGGTGGGTGTCTAACGGTGTGGTGGGGTCTCAAGCATTTGCAGCCTACGACCAAGGTGAGAGGCGCTGCCAGCGTATTCCACTCTTACTTACCCGTTTTTTGCTCGTATTTTGTTTTTCTTACTTCTTCTGATCCTCTTCCTTTCATCCCCTCCTCTGTTTCAGTCCGTTGATCCCTTGGCTCTCAAATTAGCCGATGATCCCTTGGCTCTCATATTAGCCACGTGAAATAAGTTTTTTTTTAGGACGTCGACTTTTGAGAATTCTCAAAAGTCACTCCCATTTAGGACGTCGACTTTTGAGAATTCTCAAAAGTCACTCCCATTTAGGACGTCGCAGAGTCTCACTTCTTTCAGTCCGTTGATCCCTTGGCTCTCAAATGATTAAAGCCTCCACTGCTTCTCCTTATGCTCTGTCCGTTGGTGCTTGCTTGCATGTCAAAACTGACACATTCATGTCCCCGCCCCTGTCTCTTCCCCCACCACTTTTCAGTCCTATCCTTTCCCTTCTCTTCCCTTCCCTTCCCTTCTCTTCCCTTCCCTTCCCTTCCCTTCTCTTCCCTTCCCTTCCCTTCCCTTCCCTTCCCTTCCCTACCCTGCCTTCTCCTTCCTGTTTTTTTCCTCCAACTTCCAGGCTTCGACGTGTTTCTGGGCAACATGCGGGGCTATGTCACCAGGCAGCACGTGGATCTTCCTGACCACTGCTCTATTCCCTCCTCCGTTTTCTCCTCTCCCCACCGCTCGTTCTCACACCAGGCTTCGACGTATTTCTGGGCAACATGCGGGGCTATGTAACCAGGCAGCACGTGGATCTGCGCATCTCTGCCAGCAGGTGGGGTGGGTGGGGGACGAGTGGGCTGCATGTGAGGTCATGTGTTGAGAGCAACATGCGGGGCTATGTAACCAGGCAGCACGTGGATCTGCGCATCTCTGCCAGCAGGTGGGTGGAATGCACGACATCTTGAGATCTTGAGATCTTGAGATCTTGAGATCTTGAGATCTTGACATCTTGACATCTTGACATCTTGACATCTTGACATCTTGACATCTTGACATCTTGAGATCTTGAGATCTTGAGATCTTGAGATCTTGAGATCTTGAGATCTTGAGATCACGAGCACGAGCACGAGCACGAGCACGAGCACGAGCATGAAACTTCAACATCTGATCATGTGTGTCTTCATTCAAAATCGTGTCTGTTACTCTGTGCCGCAGACAATTCTGATACTTGGCTTTTCACTCCCTTTCCCTGCCTCAGGTACTGGAGCTACAGTGTGAACGAGCATGGCATGTGTGACATACGAGCCATGATAGACTGCATCCATCACACCAAGATCCCAATACCGTGCGCCCTGCCCCCTCTCTTCCCTCTCTTTTCCCCCTTCCCCTCTGCATTCAGGTACTGGAGCTACAGTGTGAACGAGCATGGCATGTGCGACATACGAGCCATGATAGACTGCATCCATCACACCAAGATCCGCGACCTCGCCCCGCCTCCCTTTACCCACTCGTTTCCCCCTTCACCCCCCTCAGGTACTGGAGCTACAGCGTGAACGAGCATGGCATGTGCGACATACGAGCCATGATAGACTGCATCCATCACACCAAGATCCGCGACCTCGCCCCGCCTTCCCGCCCCTCTCTCGTCCCTCCTCCTTCCTCCCTCACCCCTCCTCCTCGTCCTGGTCGCTCACTGCATTCAGATGAGCACTCTTTTAACCAGCAGCAGCAACAGCAGCCACTGAACCCCGTGCAGAGCCAGGAGCACCACCAATGGCGGCAGCCCAGTCCTTCAGCAGCACTAGATGCCTTGGGCCTCGTGCACAGCGATTCTGCTTTTGAGTCGACTCAAAAGCCTTCAGCAGCACTAGATGCCTTGGGCCTCGTGCACAGCGAGGTGACTTTCGAGTCGACTCAAAAGGGCCTCGTGCACAGCGATTCTTCGCTCCATCCTGTTGTGAATAGTAACGGTTTTGGTACAGGGGGAGGAGCGGGAGGCGCTGATACAATGTATCGGGACAAGCCTCAAACGGGTACGGGTGGTTCTGGGTGGACACCTGGCAGCCAGACGATGCAGGATGGCGTGATGACGTGGCAGCCAGGCTGGCACGAGGTGAGGCCTGCTCCTGTGTCGCTGATAGATGCTTTGAGGGAGAGGAGGGAGGAGGAGAGGAGGGAGGAGGAGAGGGAGGGGGAGAGAAGGGATGGGGGGACAACGGCAGCAGCAGCAGAAGGAACAGCAGCAACAAGTGCCGCAGAGACTTCATATCAGAAGCAGCAGGGGCAGCAGCAACAGCAGCAACAGGGGGTGCCATGGAGTGAGGAGCAGCCGTACCATCTGCAGGCAGTGGCGCACAGCCTGGGAGGGGCAGCCATGATGATCTACCTCGTCACCCAGCTCATCAGGAAGCAGCCGCACCGCCTCTCGCGCCTCATCCTCCTCTCCCCCGCCGGTGAGTGCCCCCCTTATGAGTTCCCGCTGGTAAGTCCCTGCTTGGGAGGGGCAGCCATGATGATCTACCTCGTCACCCAGCTCATCAGGAAGCAGCCCCACCGCCTCTCCCGCCTCATCCTCCTCTCCCCCGCCGGTGAGTGCCCCCCTTAATGAGTTCCCGCTGGTAAGTCCCTGCTTGGGAGGGGCAGCCATGATGATCTACCTCGTCACCCAGCTCATCAGGAAGCAGCCGCACCGCCTCTCGCGCCTCATCCTGCTCTCCCCCGCTGGTGAGTGCCCCCGCTGGTAAGTGTCCTCGTATCGTGTGTAGGCAGTCCTATCACAGCCTGGGAGGGGCAGCCATGATGATCTAGCTCGTCACCCAGCTGATCCGGAAACAGCCCCACCGCCTCTCCCGCCTCATCCTCCTCTCCCCCGCCGGTGAGTGCCCCCCTTAATGAGTTCCCGCTGGTAAGTCCCTGCTTGGGAGGGGCAGCCATGATGATCTACCTCGTCACCCAGCTCATCAGGAAGCAGCCGCACCGCCTCTCGCGCCTCATCCTGCTCTCCCCCGCTGGTGAGTGCCCCCGCTGGTAAGTGTCCTCGTATCGTGTGTAGGCAGTCCTATCACAGCCTGGGAGGGGCAGCCATGATGATCTAGCTCGTCACCCAGCTGGTCCGGAAACAGCCCCACCGCCTCTCCCGCGTCATCCTCCTCTCCCCCGCTGGTGAGTGCCATTCCTCTCATTCTCCTCTCCCCCGCCGATGAGTTCACTTGCCGGTGAGACCCCTCTAGGATCCACTGCTGATTGGATAAGGAGTCAGACCCACCCATTTGTCGTCTCACCTCTCGTCGTCTCACCCTCTTCGAGACCCCTCTAGGATCCACTGCTGATTGGATAAGGAGTCTCACTGCTGCTGGTTGAATAAGCAGTCAGACCCACCCATTTGTCGTCTGACCCTCGTCGTCTCACCTCTCGTCGTCTGACCCTCGTCGTCTCACCTCTCGTCGTCTGACCCTCGTCGTCTCACCTCTCGTCGTCTGACCCTCGTCGTCTCACCTCTCGTCGTCTGACCCTCTTCGTCTCAACCGCTTCCCCCCTCTCGTCCAACCCCCTCCCCTCCCTCCATCGTGCCCCTCCCTGCCATTCCTCCCCATCCATCCCTCCTACTCTTCACAGGCTACCATGAAAAGACTCCTCTCCTCTTTGGCGTAATGCTATTCCTCATGCCATACGTCGACTCGTGGCTCTCCCATTCCGTGCTCACACCGCTATGTGCCACCCCTTTTCCTTGTCAATCCTCCCTTCTTTTGAGTCGACTAAAAAGCATACGTCGACTTGTGGCTCTCCCATTCCGTGCTCACACCGCTATGTGCCTCCCGTTTTCCTGTCAATCCTCCCTTCCCCCCCACTCCCCACAGGCTACCACGAGAAGACCCCCCTCCTATTCGACGTAATGCTCTTCCTCATGCCATACGTCGACTCATGGCTCTCCCACTCAGTACCAGCCGTCTACATCCCCACGCAGGGCCTGCGCCTGCTCTTCAACAAGCTCGCCCAGGACTTTCAGAACCTCCCCGCCTTGAGGTGTCTGGTGCAGGTACGCCTGGTGCAGGTATGCCTGGTGCAGGTCGCTCTGGTGCAGGTGTGTTGTGGTGCAGGTGTGTTGTGGTGCAGGTGTGTTGTGGTGCAGGTGTGTTGTGGTGCAGGTGTGTTGTGGTGCAGGTGTGTTGTGTGTTTTGTGCCGGTGCGTGTGTGGTTAGGGAGGTGACATCTCCCCACCCACGGCCTGCGACTGCTCTTCAACAAGCTCGCCCAGGACTTTCAGAACCTCCCTGCACTGCGCTGCCTGGTGCAAGTACATTCGTGTGAGGGTGAGGGTATGTGCAGTGTGGTGTGTTTGTTTAAGCCGTACCAGCCGTCTACTTCCCCACGCAGGGCCTGCGACTGCTCTTTAACAAGCTCGCCCTGGACTTCCAGAACCTCCCTGCATTGAGGTGTCTGGTGCAGGTACTTTCGTTCGTATGTGGGTGTGAATGTGCAGGTATGTGTGGGTGAGGGTATGTGCAGTGCGGTATGGGTTGTTAAAGCCATACCAGCCGTCTACATTCCCACGCAGGGCCTGCGTCTGCTCTTCAGGCACTGTGCCACAACATTCTATGCTCTTCAGGCTCTTCAGGCACTGTGCCAGCCGCACTACAGCATGTCTAGATTTGCACACAAAGTCATGAAGCGCCTGGCCCTCCCCTCTCTCCTACCAATCATGCAGGTGCTCATCTCGAACATCATTGTAGGAGGAGACTCCTCAGACTGGGTGGGAGCCTTGCGCCAGCCGCACTACAACATGTACAACATGCCTGGCATAGCCTACAACGTTATGAAGCACTTAGCTCTCAGCAAGCGCGAGCGCCGATTCATCATGTTCGATTATGGCTCCCCCGCAGCAAACCTCGCAGTGTACGGTTCTCCCGAGCCGGTGGACATAGGAGCGTTTTACCGTCTTATCGATATCCCCATTGATGTTGTCGCCGGGCGGCGCGACCGTCTTATTCCCCGGGAGATGGTCCACTGGCACTACAAGACGCTGAAGGCCGCCGGGCGGCAGGCTTCGTACCGGGAGTTTGAGTACGCGCATCTGGACTTCACGTTTGCACATAAGGAGGAGCTATTAGCATATGTGATGCGGAGGCTCAGGGTCGATCTGCCGAAGCTGCACCTCATGCCGAACCTGTCGCCGAACCGGTCGCCGAACCTGCGTGCGCGCGTGGCGGAGTTTGATAGGTCGAGGAGCTCGCCTGCCATGGCTGGGATGGCAGGGTTGGCAGTGGGGGAAGTGGATGCGAGGGAGGAGAGGAGGAGAGAGAGGGAGGAGAGGAGGAGGACAGGAGGAGCAGCAGGTGGTGGAAAGGGAGGGGGAGGGGGAGGAGGAGGGTACAGGGCAGGGAGGAGCAGAGGGCGAGGAGGTAGGGGAGGGAGGGCAGAGAGAGGAATGGTTACAACTGATGGAAGTAAGGCCATTGAGGGGACGGTGGATGCTGCTGCCACTGCTGCCACTGCTGCTGGTGCTGCTGCTGCTGGTGCTGCTGCTGGTGTTAGTTCTCATGGGGTTGCTGCTACCTCGATCCGCAGGCCCGCAGTGCTTACAGCTGACGCACTGGTAACGGCCGATCCGCTGGTTCGGCGGTGTGAGTCGGCCGTCTTCTCCCCGCTCGGAGCACCTGTGGAAGACTCCCCCACGCTTGAGGGGCAGCTGTCGTTTGCCGGATGGCGAAGTGGGGCACATGCTGGTGGGAATGAGTGAGGTTGACACAGTGCCGGCACTGGTGCTGGCGTTGGTGCCGGCACTGGTGCTGGCACTGGTGCTGGCACTGGTGCTGACGCTGGAGTATGCTGAGTTTCGCGGCACCAGAGAGGAGAACTGTGTGCTTGTGGTGCGCTGAGTACGGTAGTGCTGCTGAGTGGTGCTGAGTGGTGCTGAGTGGTGCTGAGTGGTGCTGGGTGATCATCTACTGGCTTTTCATTTGTATATGGTAGTTCTTTTGTGTAAAACTATTGCTAGAATCATGCTTTTCGTTCGTCTTATGGTGGAGCTGTGGCTCCTGGGCCTGCCACACAGATCCAGCACCATTACGGTAATACAGTACGTGAGGCCATTGAAAAAGTGCACAAAAGTGTGATACGGTAATGGTAAACGACAACACTGACAATTTGTCTGTCGCCAACCCTGGTACAAGTTCATCGTAAGGTACACTCTGTAATCATGGGGAGCTTAGCCTGCACATAACCGTATACTTCTCGGCCAATTTAGGTCTGCAAATTAATTCTCATGAGGTGTATTATGGGTGGTAAGAATCTATTGCTATGCAATATTGGTGATTCTTGCCGAACTATGTACAGGTAATTGGAGTAGATTGTGTCGGGGATTGCCGTGACTGACGCCGAAATAATTGGGCAATTATATTCTGGCGTGGGCTGGACTTTCGCATTGCGCAGCGAAATCGCAAAATGTGGAAACAAGCCCACTCGCAGAAATTCGCTTGATCAATGCCGCATGTTTTTTTTTCGCACAAGTCGCGTCGCCATCCCACGATAATCGCACCCGTCAATCTGCTTGCTTTACCAAATGCTCATAAATTCCACCCATCTGCCGTGAGAGTGGAATCCCGAGCTCCCAGTTACTTCAAGCCCTACTGGCTTCCACTCGTACTACTCGTAGTACTAGCCCTCCCAGCTACCTTTCTAAGTTAACGTTCCCTCGTTCGACGGACAGTTTCGTTGCAGTTCAACATGACAAAGCGTGCCTACCTATTGCTTCCCGTTTTCGTCGCGTGCCTCATTTTCCTTGCTGATGCAGCGAAACAACCATCCGAGGTACTCTTTCAGGATAACCGCGCCAAACCCCTAAAATTGAATCGAAATGACCTCTCTGGTAGCTTTCCGTCTGTACAGATTTGCGTCCTTGAGAATTTTCTCGACATGATGTTGCAACATTTTGTCTGGAGCTGCAGTCACAGTGCGGCGGTTTATTTCTCAGCTATCTCTTCTCTCTCATGCATGTCGTCCTTGCAGGCAGTGAATTCGCATGCATTTGCGCGACCCACGAGGATCCTCGCGCGACACAGAATCCCAAAGGGGCCTGTGGACGCAGACGGTATGTCCAGTGGCTCTGCAGAAGGCGCGGGCGCGGGGGGGAGCGGCGGCGACCCCGCATCGGCGGATCCAGCAGAGTCCGCGCCGAGCTCGGTCGCGGACGAGCCTATGACGCGCAGCGCGTCCTCACGGCGCGGCCCTCGTCGCGGAAGTCGAGATCGCAACGTTCGTAACGGTCGCAACGGTCGCAACGGTCGCAACGATCGCAACGGTCGCAACGATCATGGCAACGGCCGCAACGATCATGGCAACGGTCACAACAATGGCAACGGTCACAACAATCATGGCAACGGTCACAACAACGGCAACGGTCACAACAACGGCAACGGTCACAACAACGGCAACGGTCACAACAACGGCAACGGTCACAACAATCATGGCAACGGTCACAACAATCATGGCAACGGTCACGACAATCATGGCAACGGTCACATGACGGCAGCCCGCGCCCTTCGTCCGGCGGCGGGTGCCCGTCGTCGCCATCCGCGTGCGCCTTCTCGTTCCGCGGATACGAAGGGCGCATACCCGAATTCAAGCTACCCTCGCGTGGCGACTCGCCCATCGGACCACCCTTGAAAGCAAGCGGCCGCGGCGTGCAGGTTCGCACGCTCAACTCGGCGGGTGCGGAGTACCCATGCTCTCAGAAATCAGTCAACCTAAAGGACCAGTTCTACGCCACCAGAGATGTAAGCCCAAACTGCTGCCCTCAACGAGTATTGAGGTGATTTTTTAGGCGCCTCAAAAATCAACTCGGCTGGCGCGGAACACCCGTGCTCTCAGAAATCAGTCAACCTAATGGACCAGTTCTACGCCACCAGAGATGTAAGCCCAAATTGCTGCTCTCAGCCATCGTTTCCCTGCGTCTACACTGTTTCATCTGCTGCTCTTCATTGCTTTGTCTGTCCCTGCATTGCTTCCTATCGGAAGGGTACCGTAGGTGATTGTGGCTTGGCTTTGTGGTGCTTCACATAATGCTCCGCAGGTGATTCAAGCACTTTGCCTCCTCCCCGGGACCCGCTCCTCCCCCTCTCTTCCACAGGTGATTCAAGTGCGCGCGGTACAGCCCGGTGACTCGGAGAAGCTGCTGCTCAATGCTTCGATTCCTTCCCCCCCTCCCCCTCCCACCGCCCCCCATTCCCGCTCCCCCCCCTCTCGTCCGCAGGTGATTCAAGTGCGCACGGTGCAGCCCGGTGACTCGGGGAAGCTGCGCGGTGAGGTCGTGAAGGTGGAGATCAAAAGCGCACAACTGGAAGTGGAGGGCAAAACCATAAACCTCAACCCGGGAGACCGCTCTGACGTCATTCCTGAGGATCAGCGCTGCGTTCTCTTCAAGATCGCATGAAGCAGTGTGGGGGGCTGAGCCCCTGGAGGTGTGGTAACAAGAATAAGTGGAAGAATAAGTGGAAGAATAAGTGGAAGAATAAGCGGAAGAAGTGGAAGAATAAGTGATGCGGTCCACTGATGTGGGACTGCAAATCTGGTGCAAATCTGGTGCAACATCTGCAACCTGGTGCCGGTGCAACATGTGGGATACGGCCTCTGCACACACTTCCTTGATTATGTTTTCGTCCTGCTGTAGTCGTGGCTTGGTTTGGTTTGATTGAGTGTTTTGTTGCACGTTGTCCCCTGGGTTTGGTTTTGCTCTGGGTTTGGTTTTGCTCTGAGTTTGGTTTTGAGTAGAAACGGTTTGCGTGCTTGAATGGAGCATTTTCTTACTCTCGTCATGTGCCTTGATTGTATCCATCTCGAAATAAAGCATATTCAGTAGATTGTCTTCGACTTTTGAGTCGACTCAAAACTCAGACATTTTGTTACTCTCGTCATGTGCCTTGATTGTATCCATTCCGAAATCAAGCATATTCAGTAGATTGTCTTGAGAAGCAATTGCTTGGCGGGGCTTGATTGTTCGAGGAGCTCGCCTGCCATGGAAGGGATGGCAGGGTTGGCGGAGGTGTTGGGAACGGAAGGGGAGGTGGGGGGGGAGGGTACAGGACCGTCCTGTGACAGGGAGGAGAAGAAGGCGGGGAGGTAAGGCTTTTGAGGCGCCTCAAAACTTGCACCTGATGCCCTGGTAACGGCTTTGAGGCGCCTCAAAACTTGCACCTGATGCCCTGGTAACGTCTGATCTGTTGGTTGGGCGGTGTGAGCCGTCTGTATTCTCGCCCCTCGGAGCATCTGTGGATGACTGTCCCATGCTTGGGGAGCTGTCGTTTGCTGGATGACGAGGCGGGGCCCCTGCTTCTGCTGGCATTGAGCCTGGCAGACTTTTGAGTCGACTCAAAACTGACTTTTGAGTCGACTCAAAAGTCAGCGGGGCCCCTGCTTCTGCTGGCATTGAGCCTGGCAGGCACAGATGCTTCTGCTGGCATTGAGCCTGGCAGGCACAGATGCTTCTGCTGGCATTGAGCCTGGCAGGCACAGATGCTGGCACGGGTTTCTAAGGCGCCTCAAAACTCATTTCCGGATGGCGAGATAGGCCGCTCTCCTAACCTCAGGAAATGTTTCCGCATGCAGTTTCGGCATCACTGGGAGCGCTGTCGCCCGTGCTGCATAGGGTGGAGGAGGTGCTGGTGTGGGTGTGGCTCAGGCAGGAAGTGAGTCACTCTCCTCGGAGGAGAAGGTCTGAGTGTGATACATCCGCCTGACCACCTTCAACCAGAAATCGTCAAGTATGTGTGCCAGTGTGTGTCACTGTGTGTGTCAGTATGACCAGCTGGTTTGTTGGAGTTCGTAAAATCCAACAGGCAGGCATTGAGGCGAAGGTTTGAGTGGGGTACATCGGCCTCACCACCTTCAACCATAACTCTAAACAAGGTGACTTGTGAGGGTGTAAGTGCGGTGCCAGTAAGTGTGTAAGTGCGGTGCTGGTGTGGGTGTGGTGCAGGCAAGCAGTGGGGCGAAGGTTTGAGTGGGTTACATCGGCCTCACCACCTTCAATCATAACTCGTCAAGTACGTTACGTGTGCCAGTGTGTGTGTCAGTGACTTTTGAGTCGACTTTGAACAAGGTGACTTCTGAGTCAACTTTAAACAATGTGACTTGTGAGTCAACTCTAAACAAGGTGACCTTTGAGTCAACTCTAAACAAGGTGACTTTTGAGTCAACTATAAGCAAGGTGACTTTTGAGTCAACTCTAAACAAGGTGACTTCTGAGTCAACTCTAAACAAGGTGACTTGTGAGTCAACTCTAAACAAGGTGACTTTTGAGTCAACTCTAAACAAGGTGACCAATGAGTCAACATTAAACAAGGTGACTTGTGAGTCAACTCTAAACAAGGTGACTTTTGAGTCAACTCTAAACAAGGTGACCAATGAGTCAACTAAAAACAAGGTGAGTTGTGAGTCAACTCTAAACAAGGTGACTTTTGAGTCAACTCTAAACAAGGTGACCAATGAGTCAACATTAAACAAGGTGACTTTTGAGTCAACTCTAAACAAGGTGACTTTTGAGTCAACTCTAAACAAGGTGACCAATGAGTCAACTCTAAACAAGGTGACTTGTGAGTCAACTCTAAACAAGGTGACTTGTGAGTCAACTCTACACAAGATGACTTCTGAGTAAACTGTAAACAAGGTGACCAATGAGTCAACTCTAAGCAAGGTGACTTTTGAGTCAACTCTAAATAAGGTGACTTCTGAGTCAACTCTCAAAGCGAGTTGACTTCCGAGTTGACTTTCGAGTTGACTCAAAAGGCAGTGTGGCATGTGTGTGTGACGCAGGCAGGCAGGCAGGCAGGTAGCCAATGAAACGTCCCTTTGTAGGCTGCTTCAAGGGCAAAGCAAGCAGTGAGGAGAAGGTTCGGGCGCGTGGGGTCCATCCGCCTGACAACCTTCAACCAGAACTCCTCAAGTGCATGTGCCAGCTTGTATCAGCGCTTTTGAGTTGAGGTGAGGTGACTTTTGCGTCGACTCAAAAGTCACTCAAGAATCCGCTTGACAACCTTCAACCAGAAGGCATCAAGTGCATGTGCCAGCTTGTATCAGTGTTTGTCATCAGTCAGTCTCTATGCGCCCTTTACACCCTTCTTCTCAATCCCTGTTTCCTAGTCTGAGATGCCTTGAACCTCATGCTTCCATTTCCTTAACTGCACTTCTCCATCCCCGTTGCCGCTACTCTCTCCTAAGAACTTCGTTTCAGTGGCTTGTGCTGTCAATAGCAAACAGGTGGGCTGCGGAGGTCTTATGTCTATCAACTTAAGTGGTTGTAAGACGACGATACAAACTCCTTTAAGTGCTGATACTCTCTCCTACGAACTTCATTTCAGTGGCCCGCCTACTTGCCTACTTCATACAGGCTTTCACCTGTAAACAATCCACCCTCAATCCACCCTCCTGTATTCATCCCCCCTTCCCCCTCTCTCTAATCTCATCCATCCTCTGCATCCTCCCCCACTGCCCACCTCCCTCCTCCATCCACCCCCCTGCATCCACCCCCTTCCATCCATCCCCCTCCATCCATCCCCTTCCGTCCATCCCCCTTCATCCATCCCCCTCCATCCATCCCCCTCCATCCATCCCCCTCCATCCATCCCTCTCCATCCATCCCCCTCCATCCATCCCCCTCCATCCATCCCCTTCCATCCATCCCCCTCCATCCATCCCCCTCCATCCACCCCCCTCCATCCATCCCCCTCCATCCATCCCCTTCCATCCATCCCCCTCCATCCATCCCCCTCCATCCACCCCCCTCCATCCACCCCCCTCCATCCACCCCCCTCCATCCATCCCCCTCCATCCACCCCCCTCCATCCATCCCCCTCCATCCACCCCCCTCCATCCAACCCCCTCCATCCACCCCCTTCCATCCATCCCCCTCCATCCACCCCCCTCCATCCATCCCCCTCCATCCACCCCCCTCCATCAATCCCCCTCCATCCACCCCCCTCCATCCACCCCCCTCCATCCACCCCCTTCCATCCATCCCCCTCCATCCACCCCCCTCCATCAATCCCCCTCCATCCACCCCCCTCCATCAATCCCCCTCCATCCACCCCCCTCCATCAATCCCCCTCCATCCATCCATCCCACGGCTTCGGTAAAAGCGCTCATTCCCCTCACTCGCTCCTCTATGCCGAGTTCCACTCCTACCCCTCACTTCTCTATACCGACCCACAGTTCTACCTTGATACCTTTTGACTCAAACCACACTCCTGAGTTGACTCAAAAGTCGCCTTTTGAGTCGACTCAAAAGTCTACCCAATTCTACCTTAATACCCACTCCTCTTCCCCTCTATTCTACCGTTACAACCATTATTCCACCCCTGTAACACTCCTCTACCTTATACCAGCTCCTCTCCCCCTGTGCACTCTCTTCATCCCTCGCCCAGGTGCCTTGAAGTAGGCACCGGAGCAGCTGACAGGGGAGGGAATCACGGCCTTCATTCTGAACATCATCTCTTGAAGCAGCACGCTCAGAGCACCTCAACCTTCTGATCCCTTCCATCCCTCCCCACCCACTGCTTATCTTTATCCCTCACCCACTCACCAAGCGCTCTAAAGCAGGCCTTGGAGCAGCTGACCGGGGAGGGAGCCGCGGCCTTCATTCTGAACATCCGCAACAACAGTAGAGGGCTGCTCCCCTCTGCTATTGAGATTGCAAAGATACAGTGAGCAGTTGTGGGGGTTGAGGCACGCGGGTGTCGTAGGGTAAACGGGAACATAATAACTGAGTCACACGGAGTCTAGGTGTCATAATACATCAGGGATAGCTTGAGAGTGCAGCCAAGGAGTCTAGTCTTGAGGCGCCTCAGAACTAGGTGATGTGCATCCCACGGACAGCTCGAGAGTGCGGCCGAGGAGTCTAGCTCCGAGGCGCCTCGGAACTAGCTAATTTACATCGCACGGACAGCTCGAAAGTGCAACCTCAAGCTTGAGGGTGGATTACTTCCCTTGAGTCCCACTCCACATGTGATGAGTCGATTTTGAGACATTGACTGACGCACTCAAAAATCGACTCATTGAGAGTGCAGCCACAAGCTTGCGGGTGGAGTACTTCCCTTGAGTCCCATTCCACGTGTCTCCACGAATCTCACTCCCCATTCTCTCCCTCTTTTCCTCCCTTTCGTCTCTCTCCTAGGATCAACAAGGGCGTGCTGGTCTACATCACGGACAGCCTAGGGGGTTGCAAGGCAATGTCCAGTTTTGAGTCGACTCGGAGTCGAGTTTTGAGGCGACTCAAAACTCGACTCATTACACTTTTGAGTCGACTCAAAACTCCACCTGTCTCCTCCCATTTCGCTCCTCCCCCACCTCCATTCAGGATCAGCAAGCGCATGTTGGTCTACATCACGGACAGCCTAGAGGTGCGGGACGTGTATGAAACAAACAGGGAGGGATCATGCCACCACTCAGCCTCTTGCTGTGCTTGTGAGCCCCAAGTCCCGAGCAAAGTGTAGGTTTCCTCACCCACGCTCATCGTTCTCCTTGCACATCATCTCTCCTCCTCTCTCAAATGGTCCTTTGTATCATATCGGCCACAGGTACTTGCAAATGTGCAAGAACAACTATACATATGAAGAGTAGATATTGGCAAGAGCACCAAAAGTGCCACACATTTAGTCAACCAGGTCTCATCCGTTTCCCTCACCGGAAGTGGACACCAGTTGGGTGCCATTGCAATAATAAGTGGCAGCAACTTGGGTTCAACACCTGGTGAAATGTCAGTAGTACTTTGTAAAAAACACTTGTATAAAAATCACGCTATAGGCAAGAGCACCAAAAGTGCCACACATTTAGTCAACCAGGTCTCATCCGTTCCCCTCACTCTCATTTGGCAAGAGCACCAAAAGTGCCACACATTTAGTCAACCAGGTCTCATCCGTTCCCCTCACTCTCATTTGGCAAGAGCACCAAAATTGCCACACATTTAGTCAACCAGGTCTCATCCGTTCCCCTCACTCTCATTTGGCAAGAGCACCAAAAGTGCCACACATTTAGTCAACCAGGTCTCATCCGTTCCCCTCACTCTCATTTGGCAAGAGCACCAAAAGTGCCACACATTTAGTCAACCAGGTCTCATCCGTTCCCCTCACTCTCTTCCTTAGCTGCTGTTAGCTGCTCGTTTCTGCAATCATTCATCTTCTCCTATTTCTCTCTCCTCCCCCACGTCCCTTTTTCCCCACCTGCCCCCCTCTCCTCTTCCTTCCCTGCCCGGGTGTTTCATATTTTCCCCCTTCCCCAACCACAGCCAGCGCCAGTGAGATCCTGGCAGAGGCACTGAAGAACAGCAACTGCAATAAGCTGCTTCATTCCATGGTGATTCAAACTCCTCTGTTCTCCCCTCTCCCTCTCTCCCCCCTTTTCCCCACCCTCCCCTCCCCTCCCCTCCCTCCCTTCTAGGTGAACAAGGGCACGGTAAGTGCCTGTGAGATCCAGGCAGGGGCACTCAAGGACAACAATGGTTCTTGTGTTTGGAGAACCTACCTTCAGCAAGGGGTGAGAGCCATTGACTGACGCACTCGAGTTAGGAAAAGGGAGGTTCTTGGGAAAACGGTTGTATATATATGAGAGCCTTTATATTGATATTGTTTTTTATGACCATTGCTGGGTTTGGTAATGAACGACAGGCCTGGCAGGGGTGTGGCAAGGGTTGAGAGGCTTCTTCTCGAACCTGCTAAATGATCTTATGTGGATCCCAGAGGGGTTCTTTCTTTCATTTTCTTGCTTTTCTTACCTTTCAGCCCCCTCTCGTTCACTGTTCCATTGCTGCAACGCTGGATTTTTCCTTACCCAGTCCCCCTGTTCTCTACCACGTAATCCCTGTCGCCTTGTGTTTCCTTGCCATTTTTTAGGTGACTTTTGAGTCGACTCAATAGTTACCTCTCTACCACGGAATCCCTGTCGTCTTTTGAGAATTCTCAAAAGTGAAATTTCCCTTCCTTTGTCCCCCTGTTCTCCACCACGGAATCCCTGTCACCTTGTGTTTCCTTGCCTCCCATCGTCACTCTCTCACCCTTTGTCTCTCGTGTTCCCCTTTCCACTCTTGTCTCAACTCTCCTGTGACATATACCCTTTACAGCAAGATCCAGTCTGTGTTTGAGCTGTCGGATGGATCAGGGCTTGCAGTCACCATTGCTCGTTATGAAACCCCTGATTAAACCGATACTGACAAGGTGAGATATTGCTGATGAGGTGGGGACTTCCTGGTACTACTGATGAAGGTCCTGACGTTGTTTGACTGACTTAGTTAAACGACGCGGGCCAGGATTATAGAAAGAAGGCCGTGCATCAATTGGAGAAGAGGGAAAACCGCCTTGACCTTATGGAATCTGATCCTTTATGTTATTTTGTCAAGGAAAAAACTCTTCAGAACCTTTTTTTTCGTATATGAGCAACATCTCCTGACATGGGTAGTGTTTTCTCTTGTACCCCGCATTCAGGTGGGTATCTTGCCAGACTACCCTCTCCCTGATGCCGTCCCAATGGACCCGGATCATTTCTGCCAGTGCCTCTGCCCAGGGAGTCCCTCCAACGTTCAATTTAGCGGCTTCTTCTGATGGGGCGATAACCAGCAATGATGCTGCCAATGGCGCAGCTACTTGTGGATACCAAGATGGACCTGGTCCTCCTTGCTCTTTGCCATCTTCCCTTCTATTTCCGCGGTCTCCGCTTGCTAATTGAAGTGTAATAGTGGTGAAATCCCCTTTTGTGGCCAGAATTTGGGAGCATCAAAAGCAGGTGAAATAATTTGTTCAATTGCATTCTAAGATCGTTTAATTATTTTGGTAGGCTCACCTGTGAATCTTGTTCACCCTGTGTCTATAGCGCAATTCACGACTGTTCGTAAACGGGATGTCTTTCAGCACTCAGGGCGTATTCCTAATATAATGGTAGTGTCTGTGACTGAGGCGCAGACGAGCAAAGTGCCTTTTCTGACACCGAGAGTTCGAAAGACTGGCAGAAATCTCTCCAGTTCTAAATGAGTTCGTGTAACACGCGATTTCCACGTTCCTGTCACACCAAGCGCGGTCTGCTCTAACCATACCTTCCCCGTCTAATCATCACAAGGTTAGCTACTATTAGTTAGTCTTCTCACATCAATACTTCAGTTACCTCCCTCCCGCCCGTCTCGCATCCTTCAATTACTTCAGTTAGCTCTCGCACCCGGCTATCCTTTTAAATCAGAGATGCCGCGTTATTCCGACACGTCGTTAGACGGATCCTCGACCGTTGCTTCCAGCTGTTTGCCAGACGATATGCTGACATCTCCTGACGCGGCGTCTCCGCCAGTCGACCGCTTATCAGATGACCTCCTGAGCTCCGTCCTTCGTCTGGCTTCCGTCGACGACTCTCCCCCGTTACGTCTCTCGCTTGTCTGCAAGCGATGGCTTCGCCTCGCTCGTCTCATTCAGACCTCTATTCCCTCCGCGTTCTTCGCCTCTCTCGGCGCTCAGAAGCCGCCTCCTCCGTGCAGAAGCGTCGGCCGCAATGCCAGCGGAAGCAGCAGAACCACCACCACCAGCAGCAGCAGCAGCAGCAGCAGCACTATAACCGGCACCAGCGGCAGCACCAGCAGCAGCACGGGTACCGTTCACGACAATTTTAGAGGCAACGACAATTCAAGATTCAACTACAGCAACCTAGAACGTCCCAGTAGAGTGGCTTACCTCCTTAGATACCTGTCCAGATTCCCTTATCTCAGTCGCCTTGCGACGTCACCCAACTGCTTAGAAGCCTACCAAGGAAGCTTCCTCTCCCGCCTCCCACTCGCCTGCCCAGCTCTAGCCTCCATTACGTTTTCCCCGCTCACATCTCCACATCTATCCATCAGCGAATCAGATCTTAACGCGTTTTTTCAGGCGTTCAGGTCGCAACTGAGGGAGGTGTATCTGGACGGATGCATCAATAAAATCACAGTCATGCCATCTTCCCTTACAGTCCTCTCCTCCCTTCGTTTACTGCACATTCAGTCCAGCTGTCTGCTTGAATTTCCTGAGAATCTAAGCTCCCTATCCTGCTTGCAAGAGCTCTCCCTTTGGTGCTGGAAACTTTGCGCACTGCCCGAATCTATCGGGCAGCTCTCATCCCTGACAAAGCTGGAGTTGGTTTATTGCTCCAGTCTTCCTCAGCTGCCCGAATCTCTCACCCAACTGCCCGCTCTCACTACCCTCCACGGCTCCCATTGCTCCAATCTCTTCGACCTGCCCCAGAATTTCATGCAGTTGAAAGCTTTGCAAACGTTCACGCTAGCTGGGGGGTCCTTTTCGACAGACCTACCTGATTCTTTCTGCAGGCTGCCCGGTCTTAGCAAGCTTGAATTGCGGCATGCCTATTGGCTAGACACCTTCCCCTCGTCCGTCTCCTCCCTCCAAAACCTTCATTCCCTTGACCTGAGCATCTGCAATTGGCTCAAGAACCTGCCGGAAGAAATCGGGCAGCTGCAGAATCTAGAGGAGCTGAGACTGACTGACTGTCTAAAAATCAGCCACCTTCCAGATTCCATCTGCTCTCTTCCCAACCTGAAACTCATCTCTCTCCAAAAATGCTTCAGTATAGAGTGTCTCCCTACAGCGTTAGGAAACATGTCCTCCTTGACCCATCTCGAGCCCTTAAA